GGGGGGGGTTGGCACGCAGAGATGGCAGCTCCTATTGCACGCAGGGTAATATTGATCTCGTACTTTCTCGTCTTACCATTTTATACACTTGTTTTACACCCCTGTGTGGCTGGTGGTATGATTCATCATTTGGGGGTTGGGGTCCTACTGTGTCATTCACATAATGGGTGAGTGAAAATTAAGATGTTTTGTTTTCTTCTGACCCCATAGAGAGAGGAGTGAAATGATTTAGGGTGTCATTAAGCACAATCTAAAAACCTGCACTTAGGTATTTATGTCAAGGGACACCCCTTTAGCCTAGTGCGTAGGACTTGCCCTTGTACCAAAGGCATGTCGCAGCTCCTCTCTCCCTGTTTTACTGTCTTTTTCTAGACATAAATCCCTGAAAAAAGTCTCAAGTCGTTGCACGTTTGTGTTTCACAGGCATTGTCCATGAAAATGTGAAGATGGGTTCAGATGGGGAGAGTGACCAAGCATCCGGGACGTCCTCTGATGAGGTTCAGAGTCCAGTGAGGGTCCGTATGAGGAACAATCACCATCGGCGCATCTCTAATGAGGTACGATGATCTGGGACACGCCCACACACAAACACGCACATGGCCCAGGCGTACTCTTTGATCAAGAGGGAAAATGCACCTGTACTCAACATTATTAATTGAATTCAATAGTGATGCCAGAGACTGTCTGAAATCATTCACTCCTTCACTATTCACCTCACAATATTAAGTAGATTTCTGTAGGAAACCATACCTTGTGGCTGATTTTAGAACTAAAATGATAAATTGGACAGGCCCAAATATCAGGATTGGCCTGTTGCTGATATACTGGTACTTTTTTTTTTGGTTGATAAATGACAAGAAAATACATAAAAAGAAATCCCAAGTTAGAAATCAGGCAGAGAAAGAGAATAATTTTCTGTCTGTGCTGTATGTAAAACCTAAATAAATAGAAAGAGGACATTTCTTATTTTTTGTTACTTTACACTTAGACCTTAGAAATGAGACCATTCCTTTGTCTTATTTCCTTGCATGTACACTTCTCAGTGGTAGCTGTCTCTCAGTTAGTATACACTATACACAGTATTATATGATAGGCTATGTATAAAGTGAAAAGTGAACACGTGGCATTTATGTGGTACGTTTAAAGGGATCTCTTATTCACCTTTTCAACCCCATATTTTTAACCTTAGACTTGTTCAAAATAAGTATTATTTTACTTGGAAGAGCTGCTGTCTTAGCTCCCTTTCCACTCCTGTTAACATAACTCCTTTCTCCTGATTGGCTGCCCCTTGCAAACAGTTTTGAACAGCAGATCTTTGCGTCTGTGTCCAAAATGACCACTTACATTTCACTTACTATCATACAAATCATACAAGTGTATTCAGAGCCTTTGATTCATAGGAAATAACACACACACACACACATCCGTAATTACTATATATATATATATGAGCCTGTTATATTTTTCTCTTATGAGAATAAGAGAAAAATACATACAAACACACATCTGTAATTAATAAATATAAATAAATATAACTATCATACAATATATATATATGTGTGTATATATATATATTCATAGGAAATAACACACACACACACACATCCGATATATATATATATATATATATGAGCCTTTTTTTTCCTGGTGCAAGTCCCTACTACTAGATCTATTAGCCCTGCGCAAATTTGCATAAATCCCCTGAACCTACCGGTAAGACCTCCTAGAATTTGTATTTTCTGGTGGAAGTCCCGAGGTGTTAATCACCCCTGCTGAAATTTTCACAGGTTATCAGCT